TTTAAACTTCAAGAATTTGTTTTAATAAGCATATCTATCACACTTTTATTTGATACACAAAATACATTTTAAAAATTTTAAACTGATTCTTAAACAAAGATAATTTTGAAAAATATCTTTGCAAAAGTCTAAACCTCCTTTGGAATGTCTTCAACTAATACTTTGTGGATGATCCTGCTGTGTCAGGTAGCCTTCCACGAGCTTACTGCAGTGGTTGGCTGACAGTTTTTGCCATTCTTCATGGCAGAACTTCTCAAGCAGTGTCAGATTGGATAGGGAACACAGCCAGCTTTAGATCTCACCATAGTTTTTCTATAGGATTGAGGTCTGTAGACTGGCTAGGCCACTCCAAAACTGTGATTTTCTTGCTAGCAAACCAAGCTTTAGTGCTTTTTGACACAGGCTTGGTGTCGTTATCTTGTCGAAACTTGAAATTGCGAACCAAACGCAGAGCTCTAGCAGACTTCGGTAGGTTTGCCTCCAATATTTCTTGGTACTTGACACTGTCCATGACATCTTGGATGGTTACCAGCTGTCCAGGCCCTGAAACTGAAAAATGGCCCCAAAGCATGATCGAGCCACCACCATGCTTTACAGTGGGGACAGTATAATGAGCTAGGTGAGCAGTGCCTTTTTTCCGCCAAACATAGTGTTTCGTATTTTTTTCCAAATAACTCAACTTTGGTCTCATCTGACCACAAAATCTTTCATCACATTGTCATGGATGTGACTTTTGGCAAAGTTTAGCCTAACTTTCTTGTGTATAGGCTTCAGAAGGGGCTTTTTTCTATCTACCCTCCTTTGCAGGCCAGAGCGGTGCAATACTCTGGAAATTGTAGATGTATGGACATCTGTCCCAGTCTGGAAACTGAAGCTTTCAAGTCTTTCAGTGTTGCACTAGGGTTGGAGGTTGCCTCGCGGATCAGTTTTGATTTTGCTCTTCTGGTAAGTTTGCTCGGTCTCCCAGATCTTGGTAGGGTAGCAGTGGTTTTGTGCACTAACCACTTCTTAACTACAGTTTTAACAGTGCTTAGAGGCAATTCTAAAGTTTTTGCAATTTTTTTATAGCCATTATTTTCATTATATTTTTGAATAATAAGGTTTTTAAGTTCCTGAGACAGAGGCTTGCCCATTTTCTTTCCCGAGTTGGACACCTTGTGTTTACAGTTAAAGTCCAAATACCAACATACCAAGAAACCATGTGGTGGATGATTTTGTAGGCAGTTAAATCACCTTATATAGCAAAATAATAGACTGACCAAGTTTGTTTGTTATGGTAGAATGCACATGTCACTTTTGATTGTTCTGGATTGTATACATCAATGATAAACTACGTGATAACACAGTATAATATCTGGGTGGGTGTAGACTTTTGCAAAGATATTTTTCTAAAATTTCACACTGACTCCTAAAATCATATAGATTTTAGGAGTCAGTGTGAAATTTTAAAATGTAATTTTTATATCAAAGGCAAGTGTGATGGATCTGCTTATTATTTAGCAATCATTGAAATTGAAAAAAATGTGTTGTTCCCTGTTAAATTATACAAAATATATAAATTTTCAAAGGGGGTGTAGACTTTTGTAAGCCACTGTATCTTTCACTGTTCTTTCTAATTCCTTTTACTCCTCTTTGTTGTGTCTTAATGTATTTTCACTATCCTCACTAATGATTCCCTTTTCTTCCCTTTGTTGTCTCTTAATGTATCATTCACTATTCTCTCTAATGATTCTCTCTACTCCCTTGTCTTGTCTTTTAATGTATCTTTCATAATCCCCTCTCATTTTTCTCTTTTCCTCCTCCATTGTTGGAGAGCTTCTCGCCTGAACACCTTTTGTACTTTCCAAAGAAAAATGATCTCTGTAGTCTTGCTATTTATTTCATTTCATTTTCCTTCTTTGCATTTTTCTTTCTTTGATCGCAGAAGCAATTAATACTTGAGAAGTGAACATTTGAATCTTTAAAAAAATCAACTGTTCAATGTGTCTTTCACATTTGCCTTCTCAGTGGTATCTTCACTATGCATCTTTTCCTGATCAAATATCTCATTCTAGTTGTTGTTATCATGCCAAGCTTTTAAACATGATTTGTCATTATTGTTACATTATTACTATAAATTATTAATTTCCTTTTAGAACTCACATGCTATTGAGTACCTTCAAAAGAAGAAAATAGTAACTGTATAATATCAGATGTATAATATCATGAAAAATTTTCTTTTATACAAAAAATATTTACGCTAAACATATTGGCAGCAATCTTTCATTTAAACACTTCCATTTTCACCCAATACAAGGTTCGAGAGGGTTACTCAAGATAGCATGGGGTTACTTTTAAAATGGTAATTATGAATGAAGTGGGTGATATGAACAGAATAGAAAGTGGTATAAAATGAAGATTATGCCAAAAGATGATTGACTCTTGAAGATTGAAGTCAGAATTGAAGTGTTCAGGGTATCAACTATGCAAGAATCTGTTCCATAAAGTGGCTGTTCTAGGGAAAAAGCTGTCTAAGTGGAACTTTCTTCTTACATTTGGAACATTGAAGAAATGCAACTGATTCAGCTGTAGAAGTGGAGGGTGCCTAGCTGTAAAGGTCAGAACTAATAGAACTAAAGAATGGATCTCATCTGAACATTCTTCATGGAAATAGCAATAGGGTAGAAATGTTGCATCTATTAAATAATATCGACAGGGAACAACATTTATTTGGTGAGTTTCTCCTGCTGTTTTATAAGTAATTTGATGTCAGGTAGAAAGTTATAAAATAAAATTTGTTTCAATCTTGGCACTTGTTTAGTTCAAAATATCAAGATTTTTATCACTTGAAAATACATTCTGTTTTATAGACATAGCAGTGGGCCCATGTCTATTTTAAACTTTAAACTGTTAATGGCACAAATGCAACACTGGCTATTTCTTAAATTTCTACCTACTTTACTTAAAGATCATAATGATGTGATAGTCAAAAGTATTTAGACATAAAACACAATTCCACATGTTCATTTATTATTTTCCATCTGATATCTACTGACTTATTTGAAAGCATGAGAAATTTATCAAACTCACCAAATATCTCAACAGACATTTTTCTGTCTTTTCTATCAATTAGAACTTTTTTAAATATTTCTTTTTCAACATAATCTTCTTTGTTGTTAATATACTTAATTCACATAAGTCAAATATTATACAGGGAAATTTTCAAATAAAAATTCAGCTATGTAAGATTAAGGACTTATTATTCCAAGTGGATCTGATCCTTTAATTTTTGAAAACTTCATAAGAAAAGAATTTACTTTGGGGGGGATTTTTTTTTGCCAAGATGATCACCATGTATGTCTTTAATTTATATTAAATCTTAATTGATAAAAATACTGATTAAATCTGACTTCAAAACTTCCTATTTTTGAAAATGAATGTGGCCATTTTATAAAAAAAAAAATTACTATTATCAGACTACTCCCTAAAAACAAGAAGAAATTTCTTACTCAACTGCATTGCAGAGAATGCCATCCCAAGGAGTACTTACAAAGTACATCTTCCCAAAGTGCATCCATGACAGTCTCCTAACATATGTAGAAGAATTCAAACACCATGAAAAACTCACAATCAAGAAGAGCTTCACAGATTGGCAAGATTCTATGTATGGAAAAAATTATATTATTTCAGAAGGGAACCTTGCGCTATCCTTTTCCAGATATTTAAATTGTTGTACTCATTTGATTTTATCTCCAATTTGTATGTTGGGCTGTCCCTTTTGCTAACAACCATTACAAGTTTCTACCTATAACCCATTATTAATGCCTGCTTTCTCAAAAGTCGGATGGTGGGCATTAATGGGTTAATCTGAAATCTATTGCCCTGTCCCAAATTTTACAGAGCCACATAAATTCTTTTGTATAATCTTCTGAAATCTATGGCCATATTCCAGAAATGTATGTTCAGTTGGCCATAAAACAAATTTATGATACATATAACTTAATTTTCATCAGTTCATGTACAAATATCTTCATTGTTTTTTGATCTGGCCTCAGCTGACAAGATTCCAAGATTTTCAACATTTAATTTGTCATTCAATTTACATTTTCTTTTTTACAGTGTATTAAAATATCTACATAAATAGGTAACATCTGTCATGTCTTTCTAGATATGTATAAGTTGATAAATATTTTCTACCACATATCCTACTGACTGTTTGAAGTTAGAAAAATCATATTGCATTTTCTCTTTAGTTGTATTTACAAAAGACCTTCACATCAAAGAAATAACAAAAAACTATATTATAAAAGAAAAGTTGATTCTTTGCCCATCACACTCTGTCTGCATGTGACATTGCATGCACAATGTCATTTATATGTATATGTGTGTGTTGTATATGTGCAGCTTATATGCACTTGCACCATTTAATGAACACACAAGCATGCACACACACACACACACACTTAAAATTTGAAATAAGACATTGGAATAAAACATTCCTCTTTCATTCAGTCTGGGCAAACCCATCATAAATTTAGAGACAAAAAAATTTTCAATCATTTAAAAAATCAAATAATTGTAAAATTCTATTGAACTTTTCAGAAATTATTTAATAATAAATAGAATTATTTTTAAAGCTTTTTTTTTTAAATTTTGTAGGTATGTCATTGAATTAAAAATTGGATTTTTATAATTTTTTAAGTCTGTCATTGAATTAAAATGTACACAAACATACATACACAAAATTTGAATGAAATTAAGGTAGACATCTATGTCAGTAGAGCTAATTGCTCTTTCTGTCTGCCAACAACCCTGAGGTAACAAGAAAAGTGTATAAACTGAAATATGCAGCCTTTTCAGGTCATTTTTCTGAATCTTTCTGTATTTAAACTGAATATATTTTCTGATAAATATAGTATTTTAAATAGACAATTTAGATTTGAAATTAGATCATCTTTGCTATTAGCAAAGCTACAGGATCTAAAATAGAAAGAATAATTTTGGTTTGTTTTATTTTCCAGTCAAATAAACTGAGGACCAAAACAACTCACAAGACCCTCAACCCTGAATGGAATGAGACACTCACTTACTATGGAATCACAGAAGAGGATTTCCTCAAAAAGACTCTTAGGTAATTCTTCATATTTTCTGAATATAATCTGGCATAATTTAGGATCACTTTCATTTGAATTGTAGAGTGAAAGAATTTAAGTAGATTTAACTGCATTTCACTAAGAGAATTAACTAAATAATTAACAATTGATAAATTGTAAATATTGGATATTATTTAAAGAACAAATGATGAAAGAATTATTTAATACTGTCAGTTAAATCTAAAAGAAATAATTATTATAATAACATTTAACAAATGATTCTATATACTAATTAAGTTAATGGTAATGTTTGCCATTTCCCTACAAAGAAACATTTGCCCTTCATTGATATAGCAGCCAGTACTACTTTCAGCTGAAATTTATAAAGTCTCTCTTAAAACAATTTTTCAGGAAAATAAGTTTTTCAAGTCCAGTAACTATTATCACTCTTTCCAGCATTGATGAAGGTTTCCTTCCTATCCTTTTATTTGAATTAATGTGAAATATCAACATCTTTATTGTTGTTATTTTCTCTTTGAGCTACATGTGCTATCCATTTTAGTTGTTGCCGCTGTTGGTAGTCTTCAGAGGATCCAGATTCTATTATTTAGCACAGGTTTTTGTTTGTAAATCCGTAGCACCAGTTCACAATGTTCAAATAGGGATGATCTTTGGGAAGACACTCAAGTTTCACTCACTCAAAGCCTTTTTTTTTTAATCATTGCATCTCAGAAAGTGGTTGTATACAGCTGACAGTTTATATATTCCTGAACAGGTCTAGTGCCATGCATGACATCTGGTCCAATAAATCCATAACCTGACATGTAGTTCTAGTTCAATTTTTATCTGAAATGTTCATTGTATAATAGAAAATGAATAAATACACAAAAATAATGAAGGCATAAGACAAGAATGTGTCTTCTCACCAGACTTATTCAACCTTTACAGTGAAGAAGTCATGAAAGAATTAGAAGTACTATCAGGAATTATTATTGACAGCCACAATCTTGAAAAGAGTAAATACGCAGATGACACAGTTCCTGTTGGAGTTCCTGTAGTTTCCTTTTTGTGTCTGCTGTCAACACAAAAAAAAGAAACTGTTACAGAAGGTAGTAAAGGAAAGCAAGAAGAAAGGACTAAGCATCAATTGTAAGAATGTACAGTTGTCAGCAAAAGGAATAACCTAACATGTAAATTACAAATTGGACATACCAAAATCAAGCAAGTACAAAAATTTAAATATCTAGGATGTGAAGAAAGTGGCTGAAGCTGAGATGCCAAGTCAGGATCAATAACATTGAAAATTCTTCATTGGAATTTATCAAGAATCTCTGTATATATAGCAGTAGCACCAGACCAGATGTGGCAGCAGTATTCAAAGCAAGGATGAATGGTAGACTTATAAATATATATGATAGATTTTGACAAGATAAATTACCTACCATGACAAAATGAACCAACTTTACTAGTAGCAGACTTAGCTGTTGATTCAATATAATTTTTCCACTTCATGTCAGTAAAAAACGTTAACCCAAGAAGACAAAATGAATCAATCTCCTGGAGGTTAGCATCAGCCATGCTGATGTAAGGTAAAAGAGTTTCATTTTGGATGTGCTAAAAAGATTTTGGGGGATGGAAAATGCAACACCAAAATCAAATCCAAAAGCATATTTGTATAATGAAAGATGTCTTTCAAAAGCTAAGCAAAGTATTATGAAACAGGTAAATCACATTTGAAACAAAGAAAAGTTTCTGAACTATTACATAATATCAGTCTTCCTATATGGCAGTAGAAAATCTCATCACTGATGAGAAGAGGAGACTGTAGGCAACAGAAATGTTGTTCTGCAGAAGGATGCTGAGAATATCATGGACCAAACATGTGAGCAACAACAAAGTTTTTGAGAAAATGAAAACAAAAAGGACACTTATTTACATTGTTTGGAGTGTTGTCCTTATCTTTGTAACCATTTTTACAATGTTTCAATCATTGTAAACTCTGGCCTTCTTCAGGTGATTGTTGAGTGTACAATGGCTGAAACATCATGAATATGACAATGAAGATGAGGACAACAGTTCAAACAAATAAGTAGTATAAATAATTACAATTCCTCATCTCAGAAATATAAACAAAAAGGATGCTTATATTTAGCATCTGAAAGAGAAAGGTGAAATTTGAGTAGCTGAAATGATTATATTGAAAAATAACTATTTGTTTGTATAAAGTTGATGTAATGAATATGCATACACCTGGGTTCCCCCTCACAGTAATATGATTGGCTGGTGTCAACCATAAATACAGACTGATGTGGAGGTACAGGGTCGACGCCTATTGACAACGCCTATGGACTATGCCTATTGTCTTCACCTACGATGAGGACCAGTTCATTACGGTTACCTGCTAGATTGTCCTACTCAGTTACAGTAGTCAACAACCACATTGCTACTTCGAACAAATATATCCCTTTCCGGGACATATCAAAAGTAAATGCTTGTTTTCATTGAATTTTTCATGTATCTACATATGTCCTGGGTATGATGATAAACTACATCCAGCAGCAAGGCCTCTGATCAAGAGATTGGGGGTTTTGAGAAGTATAGAACCACCTTTTAATTGCTGTTATTCCCAGGTTCACTCTGTTCCAAGGTGGTAGCAGCTGTTAAGGTCCCAGCATGAATAGTGAACCTGGCGGATAAAGATTATTACTCATCAACACCACTAATAAAAAAACATTGAAAAAGAGAGACCCCCCCCCCTCTTAGACCTTGTAAGAACCTCTTCCTAGGAGAAAGAAAACTGATGATGTTGATGTCTTCTTCTTTTCGGATCAGTCCGTGTGTTGCTCAGAGAGTAGGATTGACCTGGTGCACTATATTTATTCATTTTATAAATTTCATGTGCAGGCATTGAACAATGTTTTGGGAGCATCTTAGTAAATAGTGCATATGGCTGGCCATAGCCTTAAAAGTCATGAATATTATTATGAATCGCAACACTATTATAGACACTAGCAATAAAGCCTCTGGAACTGTACCTGGTGAACAATCAATTGCCAGAAAATGCACCTAATGTTGTGACTGGTCATAGCTACCAAGTCTGTGAAAAACAATGTAAATCATTGGCTGGTCCATGCCTGGCACTGGTGAATCTTTGTGGGATGTTGTATTATGGCCATGCTATATAATAAGAAGGCAGCCATTATATTGAGAGAGGGGGGTAGCAAGAATTTGTTTAAACAAGTTTTGTTAAATTCTTAATTCAGTTGAATTTAATTCTTTATTGTATCTTTTAAACTTCCAGATAAGATGTTGTCCATCTGGTTCAGAATTGTGGATGAACAGTCTGAAGTTCATGTTTCATTCAGTTTTGGCTCAAGTAATTTTTTTACTGTCTCAGTCATTATCAAGAACTTGGTTTTGACTGTCTGGGGAAATCCCATCACTCAAAAAACACCAGGATCTAGACAACAAATTCTTAGCTACCATACTGGCAACACCCAACTCTTGATTATGACTGAGATGGTTGAAAGTTCTTGAACCAGGTACTTTGGACAGTTTGTCGACAACTTTGAACCTGATGTATAAGATCCAATTTAAAAATTGGAAAAATACAAAAAAAATTATAGAAATAGATCTTGTCAGTTGAATTTAATTAAAATTGTTTTTGTTCATATAGACATTTCACAGAGCATTCATATTGGCACTCAGATCTTTGACAGAAGCATTTATCCATATATAAGTAATCCTATCGTTCTTGACATATGCTCTGCTTATATTTATATAATGTGTATAATATATATGTGTGTGTGGCAGCACAGATTACTGAATTAATAAGATATTTACATCCATCCAAATTTAAATTTGTTATTTGACCCTAGAGTCCTCACCTTTTGTTCAGCTTATGAATAGCATGTACATTACTGCTGATCAGATTAAAGCTTTGTTCATTGTTTAAGATGAATAGTAGCAACATGTATTCAAAAGAGAATGACAATGCAGAATTGGAATTGCCAGGTTCTGTAAAGCAAAGTAGGAAAATCTGCATTTCTTCTTTTCTCTATCATCACCAGAAATGAATCAACCATTGAGTTTAGTGCATCAGCTCATCAATATTAAAGATTCAGTACAATTAGTTTGTTCCGTATATTTATGCAAAGGGAGATTGTTTGCATTTGGGAGTTTATTAAATCTCTTCTTTTACTCATTATCATGTATCTTATTCTCATATTTTAATTGGTATATATGTTATCAAGAATTCTGCTAAATAATATATTCATAAATGCTGTTAAATAATGTTATCATATATTCTTTTAAATAATGTTATATATTCTTTTAAATAAATTCTTTTAAATAATGTTATATATTCTGTTAAATAATGTTACCATAAATTCTTTTAAATAATGTTATATATTCTGTTAAATAATGCTATTATAAATTCTGTTAAATAATGTCATCATAAATGCTGTTAAATAATGTTATCATATATTCTTTTAAATAATGTTATATATTCTTTTAAATAAATTCTTTTAAATAATGTTATATATTCTGTTAAATAATGTTACCATAAATTCTTTTAAATAATGTTATATATTCTTTTAAATAATGCTATTATAAATTCTGTTAAATAATGTCATCATAAATGCTGTTAAATAATGTTATATATTCTTTTAAATAATGTTATCACATATTCTTTTAAATAATGTTACCATAAATTCTTTTAAATAATGTTATATATTCTTTTAAATAATGCTATTATAAATTCTGTTAAATAATGTCATCATAAATGCTGTTAAATAATTTTATCATATATTCTTTTAAATAATGTTATCACATATTCTTTTAAATAATGTTATATATTCTGTTAAATACTGCTATTATAAATTCTGTTAAATAATGTCATCATAAATGCTGTTAAATATTATCATTCTGTTAAATAATGTTATAAATTCTTTTGAATAATGTTATAATAAATTTTTTAAAATAATGTTATAATTTTTTTAAATAATGTTATCATAAATTCTACAATGAAGTATTTTCA